GTATCTCTTTGCATGCATTTCTGGATCAATTATTTAGGGCTGACATTAAAGGGAAAAGGGAACCCTACAGTTGTACATAGGTAGACAGGTAGCAAATTAACATTTCTGCTTTACCTAGTGATATTCAGAGGTTTGAAAGTTAGAACTGTTTAAAGCTTCATGATTACATTGTTTTGGATTTATTCGTCTTTCATTAATAGTAGTCAGACCCCAAATCTTAAGGTTCTGAATAAAATGGCAGAGCCATTCATTACCTGTGCTTTATTCCAATCTAGGGAGGTGGAGGATGTCTTTTGAATTTATTCATTAAAATGTAGGATCATGATTGATCTAGTAATTTGATTAATAAATGCTCATCTCTATATCAAAGTCACTTGAGGGCCTGGTAAAAAAAATTAGATCCTTAAAAAATAATCATAATCTCAGCTTATTCCTGGGGATTCTGACTTCGTAAGTCAAATAGAAGACTTGGTCTGTATTGCTAAGAAGCCCTTTACATTTCAGAGCTGAACACAGCCTGTTTTGCAAACCTCTGCTAGGCAATCTCTTTTCTATTGGATTTTCTCTGCTTTTCAGGGTTCTTGTTTTCCAGATTATCAGTCTTATCCTATATTTTGTCAAAAGCTAAGAATGCAACAGCATTGAAGAAAATCAGTGATGTGGGAGTTAGATGCCCTCTGTTCTTGACTCTATGCTGACTAATGTGGACACGTCGTTAAGGCTTTGTTTCACTATCTGTAGAATGGAGCGTACTCGAGGACTTGAGAGCATGTGCGTGAGTGCTTTGAACTCTTCAAAAGAAAAGGCATATGAATTGAGCTTGTTATTAAAACATATTTTAATATCCTTCCTGTTGAAATATGTTTTCCTTTTTGCAGTAAAATATGGTTCTCACTGAAAACTCATTTTGGAATGTGCCTCTCCTTTTACACACATTCCCGCTGGTAGTTTTCCAGCATTTGTACCATGAGAGATTTTGCCGATGTCATTTGGATCAAGAGCCCCTCTGTTGGGAAGATGTGAGCTGCTCTTGCTGGAACTGGTCAGGAGCCAGAGATTGTCCATTGGAGCTGGGATTTCACACTGGAAAACATAGAAGACCCAGTTACCTTCCCTCACTCTGTGCTGCTTGTGATGAGTTCGCTGCCAGGCCAAGGTCGTTGGCCTTGGATTTCAGAGGCAAAGGATAAGTGAAATGATGAGTAAAGGCTAGATCCATTGGTCTGTGTTCCACAAAGAAGGTGAATCAAGGACATTTTTAGATCACAAGCTAAGTAGATACTGAAAGTATATCATCTTAAACTCAAAGGTACATTTTCAGTTCTAAAATATATTCTGCCTAGTAACATCTTAGGGAGCTCTGGTGGCCTAGAGGCAAGAAGGTGCACTGCAATTCCAAAGGCATGTGGTTTGAATCCATCAGCTCCTTCCTGGGAAAAGGATGGGTAATCTCCCGTGTGATTAACAGCCCCTGAAAGACCATAAGAAGGTCAGCTATAGGTCAGTTCTGACTCGATGGTATACAACAACAGCAAGACCAGTAATCTCTCAAATAAAAAGCTCTTTTAGGAAATAAATTCTGTTTTAATGATGTCTGCCATTATTAAGAGAGATTGCTGAAAGGAGAAGAGTGATATCAAAGCACCATTATTGCAAGTGTAAACTCCATAATGAATATTGGATGCAGATTCTCATAGAGCAGATGGACTTTGTTTTAGGAATTATATTGGCTAATACTTGTGAATATTATTTGCTTAACAATCAAAAGAAATGAAGCAAAATGTACTATTATTTTCATCTTTCGAATGATGAAACAGAGGCAGAGGTTCAGTTAAATAGAGCCAAGATTAAAACTCAGGCAGTCTGGCTCTAGAATCTTCACCTCCTAGTATTATTAAGTTGTTTCTACAATAAGAATGTAGAGTTTAGATGCTTTCGTTGTGTGTAGCCCTAGAAACTCATATCTCTTCTCTTCTACATTGATAAGATCACCCAATATGTCTAGCTTGAAATAAAAGAGTTATCATGATAAGCAGGTATTGTAAAGTGTCCAGTCACTTTCACGGTGTGGAAGTTTTGCATGAAGCCACCAGTGTTACTAGACGTGACAGTGACAGTCTACTGTCTTCATTTACACTCAGTGGTTCCATGACAGATGGCTAGCATCGTGTTAGAGAAGCCACTCACATGCTCTGTTGGTGGCCAGTGAGATCATCTGAACTTTTTCTGGTCGAAGGTTGATCAGAACTTGCAAACGTGTTTCTTGAAGTCTGTTTATTTTAACGTTCATGTCTCAGAAGGTTGTGCAGCACATTTCCTGGGTATGTTTTGAACTGTAACCATTCTGATAAATCTATTTTTGTCTGATGAACAGGAATTATATAAATATTTATGTTGGTAGAAGTTCCCATTGGGTCAGTCCTGGATGTGGTTTTGGAAGAGTTTCTTGGGGATTCTAAGCCCTTGAATTTAGATCTTGACTTTTAGGCTTTCAGATCTTTTTTTCTTAGCATCTTTGGATTTTCTGGCCTTGACATTCGAGGCAGGATTCTTATTCTTGGTCATAGACATCCTTGACTTCAGAGTTAGATCCCCCACTGCCCCCCGCTTAGGATAAAATTAATGTTGTATTTTCAAAGTTGAGCCATTATCACATTTATTTCCTGTCACTTGTTTTATTTCCTTTTAAAAATCCTGACATCTAAAGGTACGGTAGGAAGAAAGGTTGGACTGTAAAAAGTGAAAATTAAACATTAACCGTATTTATTCCATAAAATGTAGGCTAATTGTGTGTAGTACTATGTGTTCACAACAAATTCTGGTTGGTGCTTTTGTTACAAATGTGAATGTCTCCTATTTAAAATGGCAGAATTCTTTGAATTTGATGATTAGACAAGTTTCCAAAGTTATTCAGTGAAGACACTGTTATATTCCCAGTGTGATTAAGATACACATTTGACTGTGCTGCTTCCCTGCACGGAACAATCGCTTCCCTCAACCTTAGAACTACTCACCTTCCTGGGTCTACAGTCTGTCTCCAGAAAGTCCTTCTTGACAACTGCAGGGGTTCTCCCACCTCCACTACCATTCTGTTAATTCTATTCTTTGTTACCCACAGTCTGGTTTGAAAACCTGTCATTCTCAAACAAACTCCAAGCACCAAGTAGACAGGAAAAAAGTGTATCTTTGGTTTTTTCACCAATGTGTACCCAGAATCTGTGAAAGCATAATTTTAATGATTCTACCAAGAAAACAAACAGATTCATCCTGGAGAGGGTTAAACCAGGTTACTCCTTGGAGTCGAGGATTCTGGGGCTTCGTCTGACATACTTTGGTCATGTTGTAAGGAAGGACAGGTCCTCGGAGAGGGACATTATGCTTGGTAGGTTGGAGGGACAGCGCAGGAGGAGAAGACCCTCTATGAGGTGGATTGATTCAGTGACTGGGGTACTCGGGATGGGTGTGTCAGAGGCAATGTGATTGGCACAGGATAGAGCAGGGTTTAGGGCTGTTGTGCAAGGGTCGCTATGAGTCGCAAGCAACTCGACGGTACATAACAACAACAATAACAACCTCTATAAGTACCTATCTTGTAGGAATAGGTTTAAACATAGATTTAACTCACACAGTACATCTTGTTACTTTGCTTTGTTAGTTCAGTATATCATTTCAGTGTCTTAGCATTATCTCAGGGGTTACTTGTAAAGAAAGGCAGGCCCGAGTTTAATCCTCAGTGCTGAGGGTGTGTTCTGGCTCCTAGAGTCTCTCCGCTGGATCTTTGAGGCTCAACATCTTAAGGGGAGGAGTCTTCGCATCTCCCTTCCTCAAGGCAGCTTGCATGTTGGAACTGTGAATGTTTAGTTAGTAGCTTGATGATGCTAGTTTAAAAAAAATCATTAGAATATCACCTTTTATAATAGAAACATCTCTGTTCTTTGATAATCATACATTTGTCCTAATACAGCACTTACTGTTCTCCTTTAAATAGCAAAAGGTTATGTGGAATATAGTAACAAGATATTCACTTCCTAAACAACATGGCTCTGGAACTTATAGAAAGGCTTCAGGCCTTTTGTTCATAGGGTTGCGATGAGTCGTACTCAGCTCGATGGCAATCAACAAAAACATCCTCATTTTGACCTTTTGAGCAAGAAAATATACACATTCCTTTATTTTTAATAGGCGTATGTACTTGTTAATGTAGTTCTCCATAACATCAGCAGACATGCCATTTGTTCAGTTGTGCCCTTACCAAAAAATCGTAGATGAGGGTGGCATAGTCCATAGGGAGTGGCGATGCTAACCCTGCCAGCTTGGGTGGCTCCAGTCGACGAGGACTCTGAGGGAAAGAGGTGAGCAGTCACCTCCATGTGATTTACAGCCTCGGGAACCCAATGAAGGGTGCGCTAGGAAGCATTCAGCAGCAAGGATTTAGTAGACTTTGTGGATCAGTCAGAAATACTTTATTGAACAAGTGAATTTGTGATATGAAATTTATTTTAATAAATGAAGAGCTATAGAAAATTGCCTCCAATCAGAAATATTAGTGAAAATGGGGACCAAAAAAACTTCTTAATTTAAGTAAATGGAAAATGACAGGTCCAGTGATTAAATTAGGTGTAAAATTATAGGAAGATCATCCTAAATAAAGTAGACTGGAGAACTGTGTCAAGATAAAAATGAACAGGACAGATCAGTTCATAATGTATCAGACTAATATGTTAACCATGTTTATCAGCCGGGGTGTGCGTAGGTACAGGTATTTGAGTGTCTCCGCCTGTTACTGCTAATAAAAGGAAACCCCCTCATTCTTTCTAAAGAGGCAAAACCACCAGCTCATTCCACTCCCTGTTTCTGAATGTTAACTGCGTGTTGCTGTACTTATGTGCATTATGTGAGTAAAATTTCAGACACTTAAAGGGTAGCTTTCAGAAATTGAAAACCCCCCAAACAACTTTGGAATATGCCAGCTTTCCAATTGCTGTCTTCTTCCTCTCCAGGAGAACCCACGGCTGCTACAAATGCCGTCAGTGCAATTTCACGGCCGGCGACACCCAGTCACTACTAGAGCACTTCAACACTGCCCACTGCCAGGAGCAGGACCTCCCCACAGCCAACGGGGACGAGGATGGGCCACCTGTGGCTGCCATCAAGGAGGAGCCCAAACTCGACCTCAAGGTCTACAGTCTCATCAACCCAGACTCTAAAATGGGCGAGGCCGTGTCCGAGAGTGCAGTGAAGAGGGAGAAGCTGGACGATAAGGATGGGCTGAAAGAGAAAGTCTGGACTGAGGGCTCCAGCGAGGACCTTCGTGGTGTGACGTGGAGGGGGGCAGAGATCCTCAGGGGCAGCCCATCCTACACTCAAGCAAGCCTGGGGCTCCTCACGCCCGTGTCTGGCACCCAAGAGCAGACAAAGACTCTGAGGGATAGCCCCAACGTCGAAGCTGCCCATCTGGCCAGACCTATTTATGGCTTGGCTGTGGAGACCAAGGGATTCCTGCAGGGGGTGCCAGCTGGCGGCGAGAAGTCTGGGGCCCTGACCCAGCAGTATCCTGCGTCCGGAGAGAGCAAGGCCAAGGATGAATCCCAGTCCCTGTTACGGGTAGGAAGGTTTAATGTTTGTATGTTTTGTTTTGTCTTGTCTTAGAACACTTGATATTTTGAAGGGAAAGCGGAGCACACCTTTCCAAGGTATAATGTTATGTTCTGTGATGGGAAATGATACAATCTCTGTCACGCTGCTGATTGACACTTCTCAGCCCGGCCAGCACAGAGGAGGTCATGTGTGCATTTGTGTGCACTACACACACACATACTCCACGCAGGGGTAGATGGTCGCTTGTTTGCGCTGTAAGCTCACATTGAGTTTGCATTAATCACTCCTGGGATTTTATGCGAAACAAAGCTATGTCTTTGGAGAAAGGAGCCTTAGAATCCCAGAAATGTAGGATCCCAGGAAATGCACCTCAGTTGCATGAAAGAGAACTTAAATGCATTTTAACTTCGAAGGTTGGTGTGACTACACTGTGAATAAGAGCACCACAGAGCTTTAAATCGCCAAGCATGGAAAGCCTGTGGTGAGAGGTTAATACAGAAGTGCAGTGTGTCATAAAACCCACAGTATAATTATGTACAAGTGGCAATTCTTACTGGTGTTTAGTTGCCAGGAATAAAGGGGGAAATGAGATCAAGGTAAATGTGAGAATCAAGTAAGGAGCATCCAGAAAAGGGAACCACCTAATGTATGTTTATCAGACTCTTTCTGGGAACAAGACATCATTTCAGAGGGAAACCTCTGGGTGAAATATGTCCCTCGGTCAGGCGCTTCCTTCAGTGGAGACTCAGCATTTGCCAAGAAACATTTTCGGTTTTGAAAATGTTTGAGCTTCCAGGAAGTGATGTTTGCCTTTTTTTTCCCCCGAGGCACCATTTCCCTCCAACTTTGCACCTAAACTCCAAGAACGTTTTGAGTTTTCCGGATGATTTTGAAGCTTTGCACATGCATAGAAGATAGATCAGAAACTTTACAAAAGAGCGATTTAAAAAATATAGTTCAGTAAGCTCAGAGCTTTGACCCTGGGGCAGACCCCACGCCGGGTGTGTCCTGGGGAGGGAATCGCTCTTCTTGGCCAGTGTGCCTGGCTCTGCACTCTGTTGGGGCTGCCCGCGGGTCCAGGCTGTGTCCCTGGCTTAATAGGAATGCCTGATTTATGGACAACCCCTTCTTACCCTTTAATGTTATGTAAATTTGCCCTTCCTTTAAAAGGATTGATTCAACCTCTGCTCCCAGCAAATTCTTCATCACAGTCACCTGCACTTGCTGTACAAGCAGCATCTAAATCATTGATAGAGTCAGGAAGCCTTATTTTGCTCTGAAGTGCTAAATAAGTGACACTTTGCACTTGCTCCAGTTTTCCTACAAATTAAGAATGAACCTCAGAACTGCCTGCATTCTCCGGTGGAGCTGGGAAATGCCCCTCAGATATATGCACAGTTAATGTTCAAAATCGGTGTTTTTCTGATCTGCAGTCTGAGGAGGTGGAATGCAGAAACGGAGTCATACTGTAGCCTCAGAGACTGACCCTCTCCCTGCCAGAAGGCATGAGTTCACTCTAAGTAACTTTTGAAGGGGAGCACGAGATCTGGTGTCCTTCTACGGGGTGTTCCATTCACAGAGCTTCTTTCAAAGAAATCTGCATAGGCTGAAACTTTGGCATCTAAATGTTCAGTTTTCTTAGAATGGCAGGACTCTTGGGGCCTGAAGTGACTCTATCTATGGTTTCTGGTTTTCAAGAATTTTAATAATTTCGTATTGCATTTGTACACTTGGATGCCTTCACTCTGTACCCTTACCTGTTCCCCCTCATCATATATTTTTCCCTATTTAAGATTTTCGTCTATGACATCTTCATTTGATGACTAAACTGTTTGACTCTTTAGATATTTTCTGCCACCTTTTGTGTCCCCCAAGAATTAGAAATGATACATAATTCAACAGTAAGGTCTGGAGCTCAAGATCATGCCATTTTTATGAAGCAGGCTGGCATGATGATATTTTTATCAAAAGTTGTTTTTCTTCATTACTCTACTTCCTCAGCCCCTGACTTCAGTTTTCTCTTGCATCATTTTAACTGTCTTTTCACTTCCTCCTCATTAGCTGCTGAGGGAGGAAATCTTGAGCAGGATGACTCTGACACTGTTCTGAACAATGAGCATTTCCTAACTCTGAGACTTGTGATACTTAAAGACTGTGGCTACTAAATAGCAGGGGAATTAGAAAAACATGTTTCTGTTATTCAGAAAAAAAGAGCCACGAATGGTTATTCTTATGTGATTTCAAACTTTGCATTTGGTTGGTAGTTCGGCAGTGTTTCTGGCCAGTGCTAGTTTTATTGGATATTTACTTGAAGAATGATAACTGATTTATTGGAATGTAATATTTAGACAGTTAACTAAATTTCCATTTTTCTGTGTACATCGTCTTGTTTGATTCCAAAGTAACTTAAGAATGAAAGCCCATTCTGATTGAATGAGTTTGATGAATGGTGGTAGAAATTGGTCTTTCCAAGTTCGGGTAAATGAATGTTTCTCAATTCTCTACATTCCTCTCTCTAAAGAAAAACCTAGCAAAATAGAGTTACTAAGCTTCAAAGGATGAAAACAGTATAACTTTGTAGTTATGAAGTCTAGTTATTGATGAAAGGCCCTTGTAATTTACAAATACAGTTCAATGACAGGCCTACTTGCTGTTGGATTAGTTCCATTTTACAGCAACCCTGGATTAGTTTTGGACACTGAATCTTTATGAGAGTAACTGCTCATCTTTCTATGAGCAGCTGGTGGTTCCAAACTTCTGGTCCTTTTGGTAAGCGAGCAGATGCTTTGTGAACTTTGTAGGGCTCCTTAAATACGTAACAGAAATCTGCAAATATAATGTATGTGTTTTATGGTGTCTTGTCTAAATACATACATGTTGTTGTTGGGGTGGTGGTGGTATGCTTTCGAGTTTGAACCAGCGCATGGCCGACCTTCAGTGGGTTTTCAGCGACAGTACATCGCGTGGGAGGAGATTGGCCGGCTTTCTCCCATGGAGCAGCTGGTAGATTCACCTGCATACCTTTGGGATAACAGTGCAGCTTCTTGCCTCTGGGCCAGTAGAGCTCAAATATATGAATATAAAATAAAAGAGTTAAGTAAATGGAATTAAATTGGGGATTAAATAGCATGCTCCTGGTCATATTTAATAAAAAATATTAAGAAATAGGAAATACAAAGTTTTAAAAACTAATTTAAAAATTAAATATGCATAAAATATAGCATGGATAGAGCAATAAATTTGTGCTTATAGTTTCCAACACTATCTGTAAATATCATACTAAGTGTTACCAAAAAGTAAATATGGAAAATTCGTTAAACAAAAAGTATTGATTTAAAATAGTTCAACATTTTACTTTAGAAGTTATAGTAACATTTCAAAGGTGTTAATTTAAAAACTGGGAACTCTCATGATCTAATGCTAAGGAATTGTGCTGCCATCTCAAAGGCTGGTGGTTCAAATCCACCAGCTGCTCCGTGGGAGAAAGATGGGTAATCTCCATGTGATTTACAAGCTCTAGAAACCTGCTGGAGGGTCAGATATCTGACAGGACATGAATTAACAACAGCTTAGATGTAGTTAAAGTCATGTCTGGAAGCATATAATTATAATGCTGATTTCAGACTCTTTTTCCTGATAGCTGTTTGTTTTCCTAATAGATACTTAGTCAGTGACACTTTCCTCTTCTGAATGAGGAAGGGCTTATTATAAGAATCACAGAAAAAGCTTAAATTTCAGAATGCTCACTTGATTAGCATTGAAAGGGTTATTTTTTTTTGTCTAAGCTTTTAGTTTTGTGTTCAGTATAATATTTGTGTATTTTTTTGCATGGTAAATACCTTTATGTTTTCCTCAGTTTTTAAGTTTTATGGGTATGAAATTAATATTATGATAAACATTTTTGTTTTACTTGCACTGAACACTGCCCTGTGAGTGTGGTTAATTGCTTTTTGAAAATTAGCGCCCTTTGGGTTTTATATTAACCATGAACGCTGATTATTGTTCTTTTTTGCTAATAAATAGGAGGAAAAGCTAAAGCTTGTATAATCTTTGTTGAAAATAATAGTCCCAGATTATATGAAAACTTTAATTTTAGAATGTATCTCGTAAAATACTTGAAAGTGGTTACTAAAATTAATATTTGGAACTTAGTGTTTTCATTTAGACTTAAAATTTGACTATAGGAATGTAGCATATTTAATATTATACTAAAGAGATGTTTATTTCCTAGTGAGATAGATTTTTCTTTCATATTTTATTAAATAATGTAGTATAGGCTGAACCCTATAGAGTTATATACTAATTTTTTATCAATTTCTTCCATTGTGTATATTTTTCCAAAGCTATTTTTTGTTTTCATAACTACATTAATATATATATGTAACTGTATTAGTCATAATTTTCATGAAGAGTCAATTTGAGTTTACTTCTTGTTAGGGACTTTATCAGTTTGATTTTAAAATAGTTTTGTCTCCTAGCCACATTAATAAGGAAAAATATGTAGCTTTCTATTACAAAGGTTTTGCTAAAACCACATTAATTCTTCATATGTTAATGAAGTAGCAGAATATTTGGCTTAATTGTTAAATGAATAGAGTTACTGGAAAATCAACACTTAACTAAATTTTGACAGTCATAGATTCCATAGATAACATAGTTCCAAGTTCTCTTATAGATTCAAATTTCTCCTTTATTAGGGCACTTTTTTTAAACATTGAGGGGCAAAACAACCCTCTTTGAGACTCGTTTTAGTTTTCAGGGAAAATTGATTTAGGAAAGCTTGTCAGTTTTAGCATCTGTATTTTTCACCACTTGGCTTCAGTCGAGGTCTTAAACCAAGGAACTGTGGGAGTTGAGTTCCAAAATCTGGGCTTGGAGTTCCAAGTTCAGCCACAAACAGTGAAAGGAAAGGCCTCCCAGGATCTCAGTTCCTTTATCTCTTAGAGGATCATAATGCCTGCTGTCCTCACAGGAGTGTGGTGCAGCTTAGTTAATTAATGTTTGTC